CCCCCCCCACCCCCGCCAATTCCTGATTTTGTCCTGCTTCAGGCTTTCCTAGGTGACCATACTTCTTGGCGGTCTCTTCATCTTCCTCCCTCTCTGGATTTGATAGTTCGCTACATTCTCTTGACTCTCACCTCAGCACCTCTCTATAACTGATCGTAGAACTTTAGATTGCACGTGCGACCCTCCAGCTCACGCTGTTGGGCTGGCTGAGTGCTTGGAGCAAGGTCTCGAGCTAAAGGTTGCCTCTGACTGGGTCCTGAACTGAACTCTTTGGAGGCACTGATACTGAGTTCCTTGGGTTTTCATCCTGTTTATCTGGCTCCTTTGAGACCAGTCTTCTTTTCTGAGGAATTAGATGAGGACGCCATGTAACTCATGATACCTTCATCAGACAAGGTTTTCACATAGTTTCATCTACAGCATTAGCCATCACCTGTAATAACAGAATAGTCTCAACTGTTCATTCTCTCCCTCCTTCCCCACTGGCTTATTGAATGTGTGCTCCGTTGATACTGAGGGGCCTCTGTTGATCTTTCCCACTCCCCAGCGTCCAGTGGACTAGAATACTGTTTTTGCCAAAAGTCACAATGAAGAACTAGAACTTATCTCTTCACTGCAATGATTCACCTGTCTCTCCTTTCAGATTTTAAAGCTGTCTTGAAAGGCCACTGGAATGTCAGCTGGGAGGTGGTGCTGACCCCAAAGCAATGAGTTTGCATTTGAGAGATGCGACAAGCATCAAGATCATTTCAAAGGCCATGAAGCAAACACAAAACCAGAGGACTGAGGAAGAAACGGAAGTAAAACGAGGGAGTTCTGATGGCTTAGTGGGTAAAAAGTTGCACTGCCAACCCAAAGGCAGATAATTCGAAGCCACTAGCTGTTCCAAGGGAAAAAAGACTGGCATTCTCCTCTCATGTGATTTCCAGCCTCTGAAAATCTGCTGGAAGAGTTGATTCTGTCTGGACCACACGTCACAACAGCCAGGAATTAACTCTGTGCTGCCTAGTTCTTCCACTCCATGTCTAGAGCCTTCTGAATGCATGGCTGGGCTTTCAGTCATTTACTGAACCACTCTGTATTCAGCAGATGTTTACTGCGTGTGACAGTGTTGGAGGTCCCAGGCACAAAACCAAGCCTGGTCCCTGTCCTCGTGGAGCTCCCATTCTCCACTGAAGAGGCCACAGCTGGGACAGGGGATTGTGAGGGACTCTACCTGCAAGTCTACCATTTGACTTTGTGCTTTTACAATTAGAAGCAACCCCCTCCCCCATTCCTACCCTTTTCCCTAGACACCGAAATAACATTAATTTGTATTAATCAAAAAAAGCTGTGTAGCCAGGGTATGGTTTGTTGCACTTTAATTTAAAAATAAAGGCTTGACAACATTATGTATGATATCTAACGGTACATCTGCACTAGTAATTAACATTGCGGCAGTGTCATTTTATCTGTAATGCTAATTACTGTGTTTCCAATGAACTACTTTGGTGCACAGCGTGTTAGAAGAAGTTGAATTATGCAGACCAGGAAACAGAGTTGAATGGAGAAGCTGAAACTACAGGGGATATGCGGGTTGCTTCTCGCTGCCTCACACTTCTCTTTTCGGTTTATTTTAATTCACTGCAGAATGAGGTGAGAGATGTGTGTGTTGCCTGGTTTACAAATGAGGGGAGTCCGTGAGGTTGGCGAAGGCTCAGTGACTTGTCCACAAGCCACAGCTGGCTGACAGGCGGGCAGGTAGGCAGGCAGGCAGACAGACAGGCAGCAAACACAGGCCTTATGATTTCAAGTCCAGTGGTCTGCACTGGATGTGAAGAACTGCAAGGATCTCTGCTCAAGTAAAAATAAAATAAGATAAGCAGGGGATTTTCCTGTCTGTATTGGTGTGTGGATACAGGTCCTAGGCGTACAGTGGCAGTAGAGTCCTTGGTTCTGGAAACACAGTCACTGATGTTAACTGGCTCTGACTTAGTGATGTTCTATCAGGTTTCCAAGGTTGTCGGTGTTTATGGGAAGAGACTGGGAGGAGAGATTGCTTACTCATCTCCCAGGAAGTGTCTGGTGGATTTGAATTACTGACCTTTCGGTTAGCAGCCTGTACATTACACATGACATCACTAGGGCTCCTTTAAGAAAACAGAGGTCTGGAAATGGACACTCAGCTGCTGAAGCTCATCCTCCTGGAAGACCTGGAGGAAGCCCGAAGGTCAGGGAAGTCCCTTAGCTCCCTCACCTGCAGACACTGACACTGGTTCAGGGCTGACAGGAGCTACGTGCATTTAGTGAACACGTAACAGCTGCTTTACAGATATGCCTGCAAAGATTGTATATTAGTTCATATGACCCAAGGTATTTTGGTGACTGGAAAGGATACTAATGCAATACACTCTTTGGAAAGCAAAGTGTTAACTACAAATTGGTAAGTAAGCACAAGTGAGCCCTTGCTTGTTTACTGGATTATCCATCACTGGAGATGCGATGCTCAATTCTGAACCTGTTTCCTCTGTTTATCCTCACACCACAGCCAACATCAAGCACAGTTGTGGCATTTACATGCAGGCTATTCTGTTCATCTTGGACGGGAATTTATCAAATTGAATTCACACGTGGAGTGAAAAAGTGATGGCCTCCTACAAGCCCCCCCTGTCGTACCTACTTGGCTTCTCTGATACTTTGCTGCCTAGTGAGAAATGGCCCATCAGTGGGAGAGCTGGATGTGAGCAGAGGTATCTCTGGCTCTAAGCCTGTACTTTGAACCTCTGGCAATAACTAGACTGCACAGCTGATTACCTGACCATGCATTAGAACAGTGCTTTGTCTAAGAGTGGTTTGAAGTCAAGGGTGTTGGGAGTATTTGTCTTCAAATCTCGCTTGCCTTTACTATATAAATCCCTCATAGTCAGATAGTCAGATTCTTGTGCTGCTACCATTCACAGCAAGATCTCTCCCTCTCTCTCTCTCCCTAAACATTCACTTATAAGGTATGTGAGTTATGACAAACTGCATTTATGACCCGTTTTTGTTTTGTTTTGTAGGGGGAGGAGAGGTTTCCTCTCTCAGGTTAAGTGCCAAACCCGAAGACAGGATTCACAAAGATACTGCTAATAAAAAAGGAAGTACTCTCCGCTGCCCTTGATCTTGGGTCGTTGTGGGCGCCTGGGACGCAGAAATCATGACTTTACTGAACATGCTCCGCGACCACTGGGTTCATGTGCTCGTTCCTATAGGATTTTTGATTGGATGTTATCTAGACAGAAGGGATGACGAAAAGCTAACTGCCTTCCGCAACAAGAGTATGTTATATAAAAGAGAATTGAGAGACAATGAAGAAGTCACTTGGAAGTAAAGGCTGTGGCTGAATTATAAAATGTTTCTTAAATTGTGAGAAAAAGAAATTACTTTTATTATTTGAAAAAAAAAAAAAAAAAAAAAAGGAAGTACTAAGGAGGGAGTGTTGGTGGCTTGGTTTTCAAAGGAGCTGTGCTGCTACCTCAAAGATGACACTTCTTAGAGGTTTGAATCCACCAGCCGCTCCTTGGGATGAAGATAAACAGTCTCCTCCTGTGTAATTTACAGCCTCTCAATAATATGGTGGAGGGTCAGACTTGATGACAATGAGCATTTGAGACTAATAAAAATGAAAGAGAGAGGAAAAAAAAGATGACGTATTCAGCCATCTCGGAACCAATTTCCCGTAGAGAAGTCGGCAGAATAGAACCCTGTTGTAAGTTGGGGAACACCTGTGTACACATCTCCACCAGCTTACTTGCCAGTTTGTCATTCTGTGGTAGTGAACATGTCACTGTGATGCTGAAAGTCATGCTACTGGTATTTCACATACACAACGGTCAACCAAGATGGACAGGTTTCAGCAGAGTTTCTAGATGAAGACTAGGATGAGAGTCCAGGCGACTACTGAAAATTAGCCACAGAAACCATGTGGGTCACAACAGAGTATCGTCTGATACAGTGCTGGAAAGATGAGCTTCATAGGTTGCGAGACACTCAACATGAAGGCGAGAGAGATGCTTCCTTAAATAGAGCCAACCTTAGTGATGTGGTTGGAGTTAATGCCATTGGGACCCTGACTTGCTGATGTGGGGAGATTTATAATAAGAAGTACCAGCACCACACACTCACTAGCAATTAGAATGCAGAGTGTGTGGAGTAGAGAGCCAAGAGGAAGGAGGAAATCCCTCAAGGAAGTGGTTTCATCAGCATACCAAAGCTCACAGGGATGGCGCAGAACCAGGCAACTCTGCATTCTGTTATTCACAACG